AACATGAAACTGTTAGTGTGTAGCAGACTGAACAAAGCAAAATTATATCAAATCATAGATACATATCTGGTAAATGTTTGTCGTTGCCAAAAATGTCAACAACTCACTCTAGAATTCCAATAGTTATCGTTAATTTCTTCCCCAAGTTAAGATAAATAAATCATGAATGTGTAAAATCGCAAGAAGAAATTTTTCTTCCAGAAGTAACTTTTCGTCTGATCAACAAAGAGACCGGTTAGCTATTCGTTGGTTGTTAAAGGCTTTTTGCTGTATGGGCGATTGTTTTGTTTGAGTGTTTGAAAAAATCTCTGTTTAAAAATTATCAGTTGTAGTATTACGCAATGGTATTAGTAAACATATGCAGTCAACTAAATAGTAACTATCAAACGTAAATCAAAAGTAAAAATTATTTCAGTGCAGAATGGATCATCTTTAATTTCAATCGCTATAGACAAGCCCATAAGTCAGTGTTAGTTTTTACCTTTTTTATGTATTCTGCCAAAGCAGAAAATAATTATGCTGAATATTTCCGTTCGGCGATCAGTATGAAAAAGGAAACGTATCTCATTCTTTTTATATTTCTTCAACATGAATTCAGTGCGATGTAGTGTTAGTGTAAGTTAAAGGAGTATATTCCGTAATTTTCCTTGCATATTTTCCATCACTGTTTTTTAATATACAACATTAAATTTGTTTGTCGATTTTAAGAACCGAAAAACTAAACTAAAATAACATTCAATAACCAGGTCATCGAGAAATTTATATTAAACTTTTCCTAAAGATATGAGAAGGTAGCAAACTGTAATGGATATTTCTGTCTGTAAGATTTAAATTAGTATATCCAAAAAAGTCTATGTTTCATCTAATAATTCATATTACTTATAGCAACAGCATGAGATTTTTGACTTCTCTTATAATCTGCCTTTCTCTTGGAAGACATATAAATAATTGCTTACAGATTTGCTGAAAGAACATATAAGGTAAATGATTGTTTCCTGTATTTTTTACTATATATTAAGAGTTTTCTTTGTCTCTCGAAAAAAAGACAAAATGACGCCGTTCTTGGAAAATTATGTATAACGTTTCTTTGTTTTGTTTATTTAATATTTCTGGTTTAGCTCTATAGATATATAAGATATTCATTAAACTCACAAGTCTTTCGGGTTCTACTGCGTCGATCATCATTGCGCCGAGATATCGACATCCTCTTTAATGTCTTCTTCAGGTCTTTCGAGATCTCAGTTTCCCGAGACCCCAGACACTACTACAATGATCACCAATCAAAGCATTATTGGTACTGAGAATAGGGGACATGTCATTTGTACGCCCGATGATGACATAACTTGTGTAGAAGTTGGCGTGGGGCCAGCATGATTTTTTTTTTAAAACAAATTTTAAACAAATTTTAAACCAAATTTGTTTAAATTACTGTTTGTATTTTGAGAACGATTTCCGAAGTGGAAATTGAAACGCCAATTAACGTAATTTTATCTTTAATTGTGGCTTATTCCCAGCTAAATAGTAATTAATTTTTTTATAGTAGTTTTGAGTTTCTTGAACCGTATTATATTTAATATAAAATTGTTTCTTGGGTTTAGGTTCAATAAGGATATATTGAATGTTTTGTGTATCTTTTTTGTTATTTATTGCGTTATCCCTCTTCTTTTTGTTTTGTTCGGTTTTTAAAATTTTGATGTTTTCAAAATCAAATTTTTATCTACAATTCCCATAATCTATTTTCCCATAAGAAGTCTGTAATTATGAGTCTTGCTGATAAATCTATAAAACTAACAGATCTAGAATACACACCAACTGCAATAAAAAAAGCAAAAAATGCCCTTCCAAAGAATGCATATCCAGAACATCTAATCGAAACTATCTTCAAATCAAGACTTAATAAATTTTATAACAATACAACTAACAACAAACCCAACAGTATCAAAACAACTTATACAACTCTTCCATATATAAAAGGCTTATCCGAACAACTAACAAATCTCTTAGCCAAACATAATATAACAGTGGTCCACAACCTCTTAAATAAATATTTCACAAAACTCAAAACACAAACTCCAAAACTTAAAAAATCACATGTTGTTTACGAGATACCATATACTAACTGTGAAGGTGTCTATATCGGTCAAACTAGTCAACTGCTTCAATCCAGAATTCGCTGTCACAAATATGACAAGAACAACTTCACTGCGCTCACAAAACATGAAAGCGGGAAGAAACGTAAATTTGATTTTGAAAACATTAAAATTTTAAAGACTGAATAAAACAAAAAGAGGAGGGAGATATACGAATCAATAAAAATAAAAAGAAACTCCAACACAATAAATGACAAAAAAGATACACAAAACCTAAATAAAATATATTTCAATCTGATTTAAAAAATAATGATATTATAACATCATAAAAAAGCCCTTAAAGTTATAACATGTCTTCACCTTACCCTTTTTCGAAAACACCAACGATACGCCCATATAAAAATAATTATATACTAATGACAGTAAACAATGATATCAGATATCAACTTTTATTTTTCAGTTCGTTAATGTCTATGTCACGTTTTACGTTTTGGTAAGTCATATACATTTATATATCTATTTATAAATAGAGAAAATCAAACAGCCGAAATATCGAGACGAGTAAGAATGGGTTGGGCAGCGTTCGGCAAACTTTCTTACGTTCTAAAAAATCAAACAATCCCTCTATACTTTCGAAGCAAGGTATATAACTCCTGTATCATACCGGTGCTCACCTACGGAGCACAGACATGGACATTTACACAGGCCAATTTGGATAGGATAAGGAAGGCACAAAGAGCGAAGGAAAGACAAATGTTGGGTGTATCACTTAGAGATAGAAAACGTAACCAGTGGATCAGAACCAGAACAAAGACAGTAGACGCGATAGAACAAGCAGCAAAACTGAAATGGAAATGGGCTGGACACAATGAACGTCTCCAAGACGGACGATGGAACAATGCCATCGGAAAGTGGCGTCCATACAATGCAAAAAGATCCAGAGGCAGACCACAGATGAGGTGGAAAGATGACATCAGGAAACAAGGAGGTCCCACATGGCAGAGAACAGCTCAAGATAGGGAAGGATGGAGAGAACTGGGGGAGACCTATGTCAAACAATGGAAGGATAGAGGATAGGTTCAAAAAAAATACATTTGTATATATATATATATATATATATATATATATATATATACATGATACTATGAATAACAAGATAGGATCTTCCCGTAGCTCAAAATCGGTCGGGTTCGCGCATGCCGTCATTGGAGACTAGAATTTGAATTCTTGTTAAAGTTAAATGAGATTTGTATGCATTCTGTGATGAAATTACTAGACGAAAATAAGTTAAGAGGTTTAATAATTACAAGAATCGTACACATAAGGATATCTCCAAACTATTTATTAAAGATTATTTATTGATATATACAAAAACTGACATTTCGAACGTGCAAGTCTCCAATGACGTCACAAAAACATGCGCAATATCTTATCTTATAGTCATAGTATCATGTATATATATATATATATATATATATATATATATATATATATATATATATATATATATATATATACATATTTTACAATATCTGTTTGTCCTTATGCATATACATTTTAGAATCTTGACAAGGCAAGGGTTTCCTGCCGAAACGATGATTGATTGCTATGGAAAATAAAATCTAGTTCCACATGTAATATATCCTTATTGAACCTAACATTAATTTTATATTGTATATATATATATATATATATATATATATATATATATATATATATAACGTTCTTATTATTTCGTTAAAATTTTGTTCTTTTTATCTTGTCTTCTTTGTTCCAATTTTTAAAAGCTATAAAGAAAAAAAATTTATTTATTATTTTTAATTTAGCTGTATTAGCTCTTACCTTTTATTTTTATTTTTTCTTTTCTTTCTCCCTACTTCTACTTTACTTTGTGTAACAAGGGAAGTGTCTAAAGAACCACGCCCACATCTTCCGATTCTGAACAACGCGATCTCATTAACTTTGTGTGCCTCATACATCTCTGACGTTTGTGTTGATACGCGATCTACCCAAAATGGTACTTTAACATCTTAAAGAATACTCTTTACATATTCCGCCATAAATTCTTATAATTTTTATAGAAACTTCAGAAAAAAACCAAACAAAATTTAAGAAATAAAAATCATTTAACATGGTGTTGAAATAATTACATTAGGCTAAAACTATAAAAAAGTAATATGATTTTGGACACTTTTGATTACAATTTTGATGCTAAGGATTTTCAATAAAATAGAAAAATGAGGTACTATCTGGATGGTATATTATTGTATGGCTCAGAAAAACCAGGAATGCCTCTGCTGTTTCTGCATCCAAAGTTTTAACAAAACGTGACATAGTATTTTTATATTGCATATGTTTATGCATTCGTTAATAACAAAAGTCATATATCCAAAAGTTGTAAAACGAAAATAAATTTAAATTCCAATATTATAGAAATTTTAAAAATTCGTACATACCGAATTTGAAAAGCCAAAGTTCCATCAGAAGGAATGTTAGTAAAAATAGATAAAAATGTTGTGTATTTTTTTATGGTGGACTGAGATGAATAAGCACTTTATATCTTCACGTTTGCCCAAAAGTGTTGTATAGAGCGAAGATGTGATTTTTTCAAGTCGGCTACTCAAACTAAGACAGAGTTTTCTACTACAGAATTTTCAAAATCGTTACACTCGTGGTGTCCAGATATTTTATTAAAAAAAAATATATATATTTTAAACGTATAAACTGTAACACATATCAACTATACCTAATTATTTTTATTTTAATTAAAATGTACAAATATATTACGGATTAATTGTATGTACGCCTCTGGCCATTAGGTAACGTTATCAATAAAAATTGTTTGCTATTAAACTTGACAACTGTTTCTAGTATTACGGATTAAAACGTTAGTATTGTTTTCAATTTTAGAGCCCTATATGACACCATTATTATAAAATTTAAGAATTAAAAAACAAGCATGTCACATACACCAAGCATTATTATTATTGGAGCAGGTGCTGCGGGGATTGCAGCAGCCACAAGATTGTTGAAACATGGAATTTCCAATTTTAAAATTTTAGGTAAGTGCGTTTTACTGTGGTATTATTTTACTGTCGGTTAGATAGCCAAGCGGGCTAGGCGGTTGGTTCCTCACTCGCTTCACTGCTAGTGGTTCAGAGGAAGTGAGTTCGATACCCAACTCGGTGTACAGAAAACAAAAAGGCTAACGCAGCAGTTTAAAATTCTAAAATGAATCTGCGACTTAGACTAGAATATGCTGGTGTCTGATCGGCCTATGGTGGAGCAGTACGGCAAGAGATAAGAGCTTGCGGCTCGGTGATACTCCTCCATAGATCACTACCGGAGGGGCGTTACCGGATATATATATATATATATATATATATATATATATAATATATATATATATATATATATATATATATATATATATATATATATATACTAGCGCCACGAGAAGGAGTCACGAATAGCGTCAAAATTTCAAAATATAGGATTTCTTCACATTGAGCTACTACTCTTGATCTATTCGTTGACAGTCATCATACATTTATTCTGTATGTTTAAATTAAAAACTACATGCAAATTAACTAACAAAATACAGACATAAGAACTCAGAAAAATAATTAAAAGAACATATTTTATGAAAAGATTGGATTCGTAATGATTGTCAAAATTTAAGTCAGATATGTCACTAGTTTTAAAATAGTTTCATATAAATATAATTATTATTTTTAAACATCTTATTTAATTTATATAATAAATTTATTGTTAATTTAATATTTTGTCTAAATTTAACAGTTCTGTCAGAAGTAAACAACGTATGCTTTGTTAATACGTTAGCAGATGGCGTTAGGAGCAAAAATAATAAATTATTGAACGCTGTTTATTATAATATAATTTATTTAAAACATAAATAATGTAAAATAAATAAACAATAAAATGAAATTATCCAAATATTTAAAAAATATTTAAAAGTGTTATAACTCATTTAACTAGATTTGTTTTAAGAATTATTGCATACTAAGAAAAAGGTTTTACTTTGGTGTTAAATGAATGTTTATAAAATGGGAGGCAAATACTTAAGTGGAATTACATATATGCCTTAAAATTTTAAAATGTACTAGAAAATTTAAAGGGGTGAATGGCTGCTACGTTTAATTTAAAATAATTTTAATTGATTTTACAACCTGACCACATAATTAGGTTGGTACACTGTAATGTAACACAATTATTTTTTAACTATATTTTTCTTTTTTTTTGTTTAATATTTCCAATGCTCTCTAAATATCTTATTTACTTTTATTGCTTATCTTTCACTGTTGTTATAGAAGCTGAAAATCGAATCGGAGGAAGAATATATTCTACGCAATTTGGTGGAAGTATAGTAGATGTAGGTGGACAGTGGGTGCATGGAGAAAAAGGAAATATTGTTTACGAGATGGTTAAAGACCTTAATCTTTTAAGTTCTTCTATAAATGACTATGAAGATAATACATTTTATCTTTCTAATGGTACGCAAGTTTCCAAAAAACTCAGTGACCAACTTTTTCAAATTTATAGTGAGGTAGTTGACAACGTAGAGAGTGCTGCAGATATGCACCAACCCTATGGTGAATATTTCATAAAAAGGTAACATTTTTTACTTCATATAGAAAATTTTAATTCAGAAACGATTTCATTAGCCCTTTACAAGGCCAATTTTAGTTTCAATGGAAAAGCTTTATAGGTCTTGACATAAAAGAATTATGATATTTATTTTGACTGACAGTTTTTTTTAGCCACATGACGAAAAAAGATATAGCACGCCTCTAGGCGGGCTTGCCGGGAAATGTAAACAAGTTTCTTACTTTATTTTATTATAAACGTAATAAGCAAATACAATAAATATAAATAAGTAAGTGAAAATGAAAAATAAGTTGCTTTTGTGAAAAGCAAGAAAACAATTATTTGTCGAAGAAAAACATAAATTAACTTGACATTTACAACAAAAAACTTGAGTTTCTGATTTGCAGCCAGCTAGCTTGCATGTTTTTTCCCATTCTATCAAGAAAAGTTGGCCAGTGTGATGTGTATTTGAAGCGAATATCATCTGCTGGTAAATGTGTTTTTCTTCCACCAGTTGGTGATGGTTGCAGTACTTTTAGAGATGGTCTACCTACTGGTTTCCTCTTAGGGTTTACCTGACATTTACAGAGTAGATCAGCCACTGAATTCCGAAAATTTGAAAGGTTCTAAATTACAGTCTTTCTTATAAATTCTACGGTGTAGAAGGTATGAATTTACCAAAGTCCTATCGATAAAGTGATCAAAAAGGCGAAGTGAAGCGCTTTTTGTTTTTAGTCGGATGCGATATCGACCAAGTAAGCCGTCTAATAAATCTACTCCGCCCATGTGGCAATTGTACTCTAAAAATAAAATAAGAATATAGAACACAGTAACAATAAATGTGGACATAAAATACTTTTAATAATATTTCGATAATTAAGCTCCAAATATTTCTTCTTCTTTCTGTCATATCTGGCAATCTTCTTGATGACTCTTTTGGAAGTATAGATGAGAATGGCTGAACCCCAACATAAGTAGACGCTAATCTTACATTTTTGGTATCCTTCTAATGTATTGTACCATATGCAGTACCAACGTATTCACTGAATTCTCCTATTTTTAAATCAATAGCTCGTTTATCTTTGTCAGCAGGTAAGTTAAATTAGGAATTCTATCACAACGAATAGTGCCAAGTGCATATATCCCATGGCTCCTTAGATAGACAAGTAGTGGTAATGACGTATAGAAATTATCAAAGTAAATTATATGATTCATAAAATAAGGAACAGTTTTTTCTAACCAAACAACAACATTTAACGTTACTCCCAAATCTGGTTCCACTGGAAGGACAATGTTATCAGCAGCACCAGTATAAACTTCGAAGCGGTATGCAAACCCATAGGAGTCACAGAGAATAAAAAATTTTATTCCCCATTTGTGGGGTTTATTCGGCATATATTGGCGAAGTTGTAAACGCGTCTTCGTTGCACACATTTGCTCATCTACACACAAACCGGGTCTATTTTGATATTGAATCAAATCGGTCATTGAACTGATCAATGATTGGTCGAAGTTTATAAAGTGGATCATACTCCAGCTAACCTTTTTTCTTCAGCAAAGAAAGGTAGTTGAAACTTAGATGCTTACGAATTGCGAAAAAATTTTCAGATGTCTTTTTTTTCTTCTTCTTAGCCTTCTATCGTCTATATTTGGACATAGGCCTCTCTCAACTCCTTGCATCAGTCTCTATCCTGAGCAACATATTTCCAATTTGTTTCGGCTATTCTTTTAATGTCGTCAACCCATCTCATCTGTGGTCTTCCTCTTGGTCGTTTACTTTCGTAAGGTCTCCAATGTTGTATTGTAGTATTCCAACGTTGGTCTTTTTGTCTAGCAGTGTAAAGTTTGGCAATTTTTGTTGTTATGTCCTCGACTTTTGTTTTTGATCATACCCAGTCGTTCCTCTTTTTATCTGACAATCGTATACCTAACATTGCTCTTTCCATTGTTTTTTCTGTTGTGGCTAGTTTAGTCATGTTTGCCTTGGTTAGGGTCCAGCTTTGGCATTCATATGTCATAACAGGAAGGATGCATTGGTTGAACACTTTGCTCCTCAAGTATTGGGGTATTTTAAGTATCCAACAAAGTTTTCCAAATACTGCCCATGCTAGTCTTGCTCTTCTAGTAATTTCGGCACTTTGGTTCTCTTTGTCAAGTTTTAGGATTTGGCCTAAGTAGATATATTCCTGGACTTGTTCTATTTCACTGCCATTTAGAGTTATATGTCTGGAGTCATCTGTGTCTGTCACTATTTTTGTTTTTTTGTCATATTCATTTTTAGATCGACGTATTGGGAGCGGCCTGCTAGTTCCCCCATCATAATTTGCAGTTCTTCGAATATGCTCGCTATAATCACTATGTCGTCAGCGAATCTGAGGTGGTTTAACTGGTTGCCATTAACGTTAATGCCATAGGTTGACCAATTTGTATTTGGGCTTGCTTCTGACTAGGTGGTTAATATCCTCCTTAGTTATGGCTGCATGATGCAACCTTTAACCGAATAAAGATTTATCACTACTAGAGACAATCCTGTTCCATTTTTGGTCTCTAGCTATTTGTTCTCTGTACAATTCAAGTCAATTGCATCAATTTTTAGGGCTAAGAAGTAGCCATGAATGTGGCCAAAATGAAAAGATCAAAACTGCATATTCGACGATAACTTTTATGGATCCCATTTGCTCTTCAATTTCTGTAAAACCATTTATTTGTAATATAGCTGGTAGTGGAGAAGAATTTTCTTACAGTCAACAATCTTGGGCGGCTGTCTTGAAGCCTGTTCTTCTTCGATAACTTAGCCCTTAGCCCTTCGATATTCCTGACTGGCTTTCTTGTTGCCATGTCCGATAACATTTTATACAATATCTTAACTTATGTGAACCATACTCACGTCGAATCCTAAACTCGCTCAGTTGATAGAAATTTGGGCATCTTCGTACTCTAGGCATTGCAAACGATTAAAAAAAAACAGCTCACCGCTAAATATTGATAAGTACTTAACTTCAACGATAAGTTTTTATTGGGTAGCAAATTTTAAAAAATAAACAATAAAAACCTAAACTAATGGGGTAGTCTATATCCGCGCTACCCAATTACCTGGCGTTGTTTTGGTAAACTTCGGTACACTTTGCGTGTAGGTTCTGAAAATAGCAATTTGGCATTTGTTTATTTGCTTTCGGTGTTCATTCAAGAGCTCTTATAAATTGCTAATATTTTTGTGACTATATGTGTGTTTAATGTCGTAATAATGGTAAAAAGGAAAGCGAGTGCTATCGAATTTAAAAGATAAGATGATCATTTATTTTTAAAATGACCTATGTAGAAACACGAAAGTACATAGTACGTACAATAGTCATATGAGGACTATGTTCCGCAAAGCAAACCAGATGAAGATGAAGGTTCTGACGCAGAGGACGTTTTTACTAATATCAGTAATAAAATTGAAATCGATACCGATGACAATGTCAATAGTGATAAATATTTTAACAATTTTCAAAAAAATTCTTTCCAAAGTGATGTTCTGGTTATAATAGGTAAATCTATTTGGCAACAAAAGCCTTTTACTGCAAGTCGAACACTGAAATAGAATATTATGCTTAAAAAGGCTTCAAGTAGAAGTAGTAGCTTCAACTAAAATCTTTCTGTTGAAGATACATTCAAATGTGTTTCAGTGATGTTATTTGTGATATAGGTATACGCTAAACCAATCAAAAAGCTAACGATGTATCTGAAAAGTATAATGCTGAAAACCCAGAAAAACCTCGAAAAGTTTGGAAGTCACTCACGACACAAGAATTTGATTTATACTTAGTTATTGGATTATTATGCTGTTGTTCTGAAATTTATTATTAAATTGGTACTTTGAGAAGAAACAATCTGTGTGCTCCACAAAAAATGCTGCCTTCATTGCAGATGATGTTACCATTTGTTCGTATGTGTCAAAAAGAAAAAAAAACGATAATTTAGGTGGCCCAAAAATAAACCTGACATATTTCAGTACTATAATTAACACTAAAGGAGGCATGGATAACATCTGCAAAATGATTTCTCATTATAACACTAAACGCAGAACTTTGTATTGGTCAGCAGCCTTCTTTTACAATATAATAAACGTAACTTGCCTAATACCAACCTAGATAATTTATACAGAGAATAATCCACAGAGTGCTACTGAAACTAGTAAGCATCGAGCTTTTTTGAAAAACAAAGAAAACAGCTAGTAATGGCTGCAATTTCTACTAGATCTAAAGTACCAAATGTTTATAGAAATGTTTCATTAATGACAGAAATTGAGTGTACGTTAAAAAGATGTGTTCCTACTGATTTAAATAATACATTAGAGTCATTACCTCTTTGAGGTGCCACTTAATGCCTCAAGATTGTTGGAAATTGCTCCATTTTCAGGGAAAAGCGGCTAAAGAAAGACATGGAACTCATGTAATGTTTGTTTTCGTCCACTATGTAACGAACACTCACTAAATATAAGTAAGTGATGACAATGTGTCTAAAATGTTACTTTTATGCAACTTACGGCCAGCGAATGTCTCCTGCTATTTAGAGGTTAGCTACAAAATTGATTAATATCGTTTTGTGTCTTTTGAGCTACACAAAATTTAAAACAGTTTACAAATTTCAGAAAATGCTTTGCTATAGTTTTCATGAGTTGAAAAGCCAAATATATGACGCATGGAGTAAAATTCGTGAACACCTTTCGTAAATAAATTTATTAGTATGGATAGAGTGATACCGATAGAATGATATAAGCGATAGCAAAGTTTTTGCTTTAAATCTCTAAACTTTTGTAAATTTCTTATAGTTTAAAAAACAATATACATTTATAGGATTATTGTATACTTATCGATAACATAAATTCCTAGTAATATCTATCAGGATGTAAACACTAAAAGCAAATGTATGACTGATACTCGATATTTATTTACAGAGATAAGTATGTATGTATGTATGTATGTAAACGTACGTTTAAACATCCTAAATAGAGTAGTTACACAATATTGAATAGTATTCAG